GCGCCTACTCTGCAGTGATGGCGAACCTGTGGCCGCGTGCCCACAGAAAGGGCCCGGCGTGCCACCTGTGGCACGCGTGCCATAGGTTCGCCATCACTGACCTATTTAAACCATAGGTGTCTCCATTTTAAGGTTACCGTAGTTCATATTTATTATATGAAAAACTTATTTTACTTTTTTCATTTTAGGACCTCCCTTAACTTGGCAAACATACAAGGCCATAACTAAAGGGTGTATACGTCATGGAAATTTTCTTGACTTAGTTCAAGATGGCATCTTAAAGTCTGAATAGGTTATCTGTTGTTTATACTAAGTTGTAAGTGTACAGTCGCGGGAGATTCCCGGATTTGGGGAAGTTCCATTAACTTGGGGTTACCACAGTATATTGTGTACTGCAAGAGTCGTAGCATAGCCTTGAAGCTTGTTTATGCATTATTGTTAATGTAATTCGTCTGGGACAAAATGGCGCAAACATATTATGCACTGAGGTTATTGCTTAAAGAAACATCTATGAAAAGCAATATGTTCCATTTCTAACACCTTGTCAGTTTGCAATATCTCTTAAAGACAAAGTACACAGTTTAAGAAATACAACATTTCATTCTAAAACTTGTAATATTTGCATTTGCCCGTAACACCACCTCACTCTAGTGACAGAGTGAGGGAGGGTGTGACTAGTGACAGAGAGAGGGAGAGGGTGACTAGTGACAGTGAGGAAGGGGGTGACTAGTGACAGAGTGAGGGAGGATGTGACTAATGACAGAGAGAGGGAGGGGGTGACTAGTGACAGAGGGAGTGATGGGGTGACTAGTGACAGAGTGAGGGAGGTAGTGATTAGTGACAGAGGGAGGGATGGGGTGACTAGTGACAGTCACCACCTCCTTCACTCTGTCAATAGTCACCCCTTCCTTCCCTCACTCTGCCACTATTCACCCCTTCCCTCACTCTGTCACCTGTCACCCCCTCACTCTAGTGACAGAGTGAGGGAGGGTGTGACTAGTGACACAGAGAGGGAGGATGTGACTAGTAACAGTGAGGAAGGGGGTGACTAGTGACAGAGGGAGGAGTGACTAGGGCCAGAGTGAGGGAGGTGGAGACTAGTGACAGTCACCACCTCCCTCACTCTGCCACTAGTCATCCTTTCCCTCACTCTGTCACCCCCTCACTCTAGTGACAGAGTGAGGGACGGTGTGACTAGTGACAGAGAGAGGGAGGGGTGACTAGTGACAGAGTGAGGGAGGGGGTGACTAGTGACAGAGCGAGGGAGGGGGTGACTAGTGACAGAGTGAGGGAGGTTGTGATTAGTGACAGAGGGAGGGATGGGGTGACTAGTGACAGTCACCACCTCCTTCGCTCTGTCACTAGTCACCCCCTCCCTCACTCTGTCATTGTGTCACGCCCTTCCTCACTCTGTCACTAGTCACCCACTCCCTCACTCTGTCACCAGTCACCCCCTCTCTCACTCTGTCACTAGTCATCCCCTTCCTTACTGTCACTAGACATCCCCTCCCTCTCTCTGTCACTAGTCCCACAATCCCTCACTCTGTCACTAGAGTGAGGGGGTGACTAGTGACAGAGTGAGGGCATGACAGGTGACAGAGGGAGGGGGTGACTAGTGACAGAGTGAGGGAGGGTGTGACTAGTGACAGAGAGAGGGAGGGGGTGACTAGTGACAGAGTGAGAGAGGGGGTGACTAGTGACAGAGTGAGGGAGGTTGTGATTAGTGACAGAGGGAGGGATGAGGTGACTAGTGACAGTCACCACCTCCTTCGCTCTGTCACTAGTCACCCCCTCCCTCACTCTGTCATTGTGTCACGCCCTTCCTCACTCTGTCACTAGTCACCCACTCCCTCCCTCACTCTGTCACTAGTCACCCCCTCTCTCACTCTGTCACTAGTCACCCCCTCCCTCACTCTGTCATTGTGTCATGCCCTTCCTCACTCTGTCACTAGTCACCCACTCCCTCTCTCTGTCACTAGTCCCACCCTCCCTCACTCTGTCACTAGAGTGAGGGGGTGACTAGTTACAGAGTGAGGGCATGACAGGTGACAGAAAGGAGGGGGTGACTAGTGACAGAGTTAGGGAGGGAAGAGGTGACTAGTGACAGAGTGAGGAAGGGGGTGACTAGTAATAGAGGGAGGGGTGACTAGGAACAGAGTGAGGGAGGTGGTGACTAGTGACTAGTGACAGTCACCACCTCCCTCACTCTGTCACTAGTCACCCCATCCTTCCCTCACTCTGCCACTAGTCACCCCTTCCCTCACTCTGTCACCAGTCCTCCCCTCACTCTGTCACTAGTCACCCCTTCCTTCCCTCACTCTGCCACTAGTCACCCCTTCCCTCACTCTGTCACCCCCTCACTCTGTCACTAGTCACCCACTCCCTCCCTCACTCTGTCACTAGTCATCCCCTTCCTTACTGTCACTAGACACCCCCTCCCTCTCTCTGTCACTAGTCCCACCCTCCCTCACTCTGTCACTAGAGTGAGGGGGTGACTAGTGACAGAGTGAGGGCATGACAGGTGACAGAGGGAGGGGGTGACTAGTGACAGCGTGAGGGCATGACAGGTGACAGAGGGAGGGGGTGACTAGTGACAGAGTAAGGGACGGAGGGGGTGACTAGTGACAGAAGGAGGGAGGGAGTAGTGACAGAGGGAGGTGGTGACTAATTACAGAGTAAGGAGGTGTCTAGTGAATAGTGACAGTCACCACCTCCCTCACTCTGTCACTAGTCACCCCTTCCTTCCCTCACTCTGATCGTATACCAACCTCTTTTAATATATGTTTCCCCATCGTATACCAACCTCTTTATGGCTTGTTTTGAGGAGGACTTTATTTATGCCCATCAAATTATGGCCCAGTTGCATAAATTATAATTTCTTTCTATGGAGCGGGCCTCTTTTCTAGCAGAAGTAAAGCAGCAGATAACCCATGTATATTTCTTTCTTGGTCTGTAGATCATAAGACTTAGGACTCCTTTCTCACATTTCTATTGGACACCATCATGTTTGACAAGCACACCTGTGATGACTAATATATAATCATTACATAACACATGATCCATTATCCAGGATAACTGAAGTCACTGGCCAATTGACGCTCAGAAATTGATGACATCTTGGTGTTGTGGAACTCCTTAAACTTATCTAAAATATAATCACAGTTATCATTATTTAGATAATTAGTTTAATTTCTTAGACATCGTAACTGAGAAAGCAATGGATTTATTTAATAGATTTATTTGTAAAGAAAATTAATATGAAGAACGTTTTCTTGTTTCAAAGTCTCTCCTAAAATGTTAAATTTTAAAAAATCATTTCGACTAATAACATTGTCTATACTTTTCAATAAAGTAGTTTATCAGAAAATCAATGTTAAAAATTCTAACATCTAAACTGTATGAAAACCAGAATACAAATAAAAGATTAAATATTCTCACTATTAGTCTCATGTTAAATTTTTCGTAAAATTTTTTAGGAAACATTGGTTCTATCTCTAAGTAATGTTCTCCATTTCTGAATTTACCTATGATGCTGTTTGACAGAGATTCTGCAATTAGAAACCAGGTAGCGCTGATTTGAAACCAAATACAATAACATCTGTTCCTTTTTTGAACAGAGTTGATTAGCTCGACTAAACTGCGTAAATCTGAATTTGAACAGCAAAGGATCTAGGATTTCACACAGGCACAATCTATAACATTAAAGGATATTATACATTTAATTCTGCATTTACCTAATACCACGTGTGCAGTAATTTTTACTGAATAGCAAAACTTAATGTCAGAATACTTGATTTGAAAACAATAGCTTAAAAAACCCAAAAAGTAATAATAGTGCAGTACAGTGAATGTGTGGTGAATGATCTTGTGTAATTTTCACTCACACATTCTTGAGCTGACTAAGAGCTCAGCTGAATTGTGCATGGACTAAACAATCCCCGTCTAAGGATATAGGATGGTATGGACGTCCCGGGTGCCTCAGATAAAATGCAGTATGCAGTGTGCTTTATCAATTACTGCTTGTACCTGGATTGTGAAAAGCTGTAGATAAACCTCCCTCTACAAAACACTCAGTGCAGACCTTTGTGGAGCTGCACTCAGTGCTTTGTGGGGGGGGTCTACCTACAGCTTTTCACAATCCCGGTACAAGCAGTAATGGATAAAGCAAATGCCTTTGTGGAGCTGCACTCATATATATATATATACCCCTTGGTCCCTTCCAGTTCCGAGTTCACCAGAGGAATTCCTTGTGTTTCACTCCTAGGGCCCATACAGTGCAGATCACCGACCCAAGCTACAGCCATACACATGATGCTTCCAGGATCACAAAGCTTCCGGGGCACATATCTGAACTTCTGGGTCAAGTCTCAAGCACCTCGGGAGCAGTGAGTACACACAAATGCGCTAAACTCCCAAGTGGTGTTCCCATATGCATGAACAGCATAATACACATTAATAGGTAATTCACATATAAACAAACAAACTCTATGCACGAACGTTGTAATCATCTCACGTCCGATTTCATTCATACGAATCAACTTTACATACTTACCACTCAGTAAATTCGTACATGAGAAAGCTCATACTGCTACTCTGATCCTCCAATTCTACAGTTGCATCTGTTCATTCGGCTAAATCAGCCTCTCAATTTCTTTGCCAACAATATGCATGTACACTGCCATCTACTGACAAAATTAGCTAACTACATAAAAACCCTACACTGTCATACTATTATGTTTTACTTATAATCCGCTTATGCTGATTAAGGCTGATATGCAATTATGGGATGTTGTGTTTATTTATGTGTGAAACTTTAATAATTACGCTCCCAATAAATATGTGGTGTTTCCTCTATCACGTAGAGCGGATTAATGAGTCCAAAGTTTAGTTTTAATACAAATATATGGTCAATCATAAACAGTATCTAACAAGAGTACAACCGTCACATTTTTGTAAATATGTTATTATATCTTTTTATGTGACAACACTGAATAAATGACACTCTGCTACAAAATAAAGTAGTAAGTGTACAACCTGTATAACAGTGTAAATTTGCTGTCCCCTCAAATAACTCAACACACAGCCATTAATGTCTAAGCAGTTGGCAACAAAAGTGAGTACACCCCTAAGTGGAAATGTCCAGATTGGGCCCAAAGTGCCAATATTTTGTGTGGCCACCATTATTTACCAGCACTGCCTTAACCCTCATGGGCATGGAGTTCACCAGAGCTTCACAGGTTGCCAATGGAGTTCTCTTCAACTCCTCCATGACAACATCACGGAGCTGGTGGATGTTAGAGACCTTGTGCTCCCCCACCTTCCATTTGAGGATGCCCCACAGTTTCTCAGTCCATCACCTTTACCATGGTCAGTCCATCACCTTTACCTTCAGCTTCTTTAGCAAGGCAGTGGTCATCTTGGAGGTGTGTTTGGGATCGTTATCATGTTGGAATGCTTCCATGTGGGCCAGTCCCTCAAGAGAGGGGACATGCTCTGCTTCAGTATGTCACATTACATGGTTCCCTCAATGAACTGTAACTCCCTAGTGCCGGCAGCACTCATGCAGGCCCAGACCATGACACTCCCACCACCGTGCTTGTCTGTAGGCAAGACACACCTTTTTTTGTACTCCTCACTTGGTTGCCGCAACACACGCTAGACACCATGTGCACCAAATAAGTTTATCTTGGTCTCATTGGACCAAATGACATGGTTACAAATCCATGTCCTTAGTCTGCTTGTCTTCAGCTAACTGTTTGTGGGCTTTCTTGTGCATCATCCTTAGAAGAGGCTTCCTTCTGGGATGATAGCCATGTAGACCAATTTGATGCAGTGTGCGGATTATGGTCTGAGCACTTACAGACTGACCCTCACTCCTTCATCCTCTGCAGCAATGCTGGCAGCACACATATGTCCATTTCACAAAGACAACCTCTGGATATGACTCTGAGCATGTGCACTCAACTTCTTTGGTCGACCATGGCGAGGCCTGTTCTGAGTGGAACCTGTCCTGTGAAACCACTATAAGGTCTTGTACACCGTGCGGCAGCTCAGTTTCCGGATCTTGGCAATCTTCTTATAGCCTAGGCCATCTTTATGTAGATCAACAATACTTTCTTTTTCAGATCCTTAGAGAGTTCTTTGCCATGAATTGCCATGTTGAACTTCCAGTGACCAGTATGAGAGAGTGTGAGAGCAATAACACCCAATTTTAACCACCTGCTCCCCAATCACATCTGAGACCTTGTATCACTAACGAGTAACATGACACCTGGGAGGGAAAATGGCTAATTGGGCCCAGTTTGGACGTTTCCACTTAGGGGTGTACTCACTTTTGTTGCCAATGGTTTAGACATTAATCGTGGTGTTTTGAGTTATTTTGAAGAGGACAGAACATTTACACTGTTATACAGGCTGTACCCTTACTACTTTATATTGTAGCAGAGTTTCATTTCTTCAGTGTTGTCACATGAAAAGATATAATAAAATATTTACAAAAATGTGAGGGGTGTACTCACTTTTGTGAGATACTGTATATCTACTGTAATATTTTCTTGGTGTAATGTATACCAATGTACGCTCGTACGTTGTTTTGTTATGCCCTTTCATAAGTCCTTGCTTACCAACCTGTCCCATTGTAAAGGGATTTCATTTTGTTTACACTGTGTGTTAAACCATAGTTAGATAGTTACATAGCTGAAAAGAGACTTGCTTCCATCAAGTTCAGCCTTTCTCACATTTGTTTTTTGCTGTTGATCCAAAAGAAGGCAAGAATTCCACATCCTTATTGTTTTTACAGTAAAAACAACTTTTATGTTCATTAGTCGAAATCTTCTTTCTTTCAGTCTAAACTCATGACCTTGTGTCCTATGTAAAGTCCTGTTTGTGAATAGATTTCCACACAATGGTTTGTATTGGCCCCGAATACATTTGTATAATATTATTATATCCCCTCTGATAATATTATACAAATATATCCACGGCCAATTGCACAGCATATTCAATATGTGGTCTTACCAGTGGTTTATAAAGAAGTAAAATGATATTCTCATCCCAATTAATGCCCTTTTTCACGTATGACAATACCTGACTGCCCCTAGCCACTGCTGATTGACATTGCACATTATTGAATAGTTTGTTGTCTATAACAATTCCCAAGTCTTTTTTCATGTGTTGTTCTCCCTAATTCACTTCTATTAAGGGCATAAGTTGCTTGTGCATTCTTTATGCCGAAGTGCATAACTTTGCATTTTTCAACATTAAA